ATCTAGATCCCCCTCCATCTCAAAATAAAGGCATAAAAGTGGCTGGGGATATAGCTCAGTGCAAAGGGCCTAGGTTCAAGTCCCTGAGGATTAGAAGAAACTGTATGGAAAGAAAAGAAGAAAAGAAATTGTCTCTCTTGAAAGGACCTCACGGTACCTTCCTGCCCAGGATTCCAAGCAGCCCCGCAGGCTGCATCCTCCGGCCACCATCCCGAGGTGGGGTCCCCTGGAAGACTCACCTTCCTCTACAGTGAGGCAGAAAGAGTCCAGGATGGAAGGGAGGTGCACATGGAACCCCTGCTCCTGCACCTCGGGTTGTCAGAGGGTCCCCTGCCTGCCACCCTTTCTCCCCTAGACTCACTTTGTTCTCTGAATCAAACACAAGAGGACACACCCAGAGCCCACACATGCCCTGCTGCTCTCGCCCATTCTGGACCTCGTGCGGAGTGGGGCTCAGAGCACAGGAGGTGAAAAGAGCAAGGCCCCTGTGGGCTCCAAAGCAGAAGTCCCCAGGGAGCCACCAGGCTGGGGAAGGCAGTTCTAGTGGCACCTGAGCCCCAGGGCTGGACAGGGGCTGATGAACGCAAGTGTGTCTCCTGCCTGGCTCAGGCGTCCTTGGCAGCCCCAGCTGGTTTCCCTTTGCTGTGCTGGTTGCCGGGGGAAACCACGTACTATTTTTACACACTCGCTCGTTCTCCAGATGATGAGGCTGCGGAAGCTCAGGCCAGGCTGGCCAGCAGGGTTCCTTCATGCAGTGCCCAGGTGTGCTACAGAGCCCTGGGCAGGGGTGAGGAGGCCACATGGAGCCCCAGGATGCGCTCAGCACCATGTAGGTGCTTGAAAGGGAGAAGGCCCGAGGAAATGGGTGCAGCCAGGAGGCCAGGACATCATGCCTTCTCCGTGTGGCGTCTGTGCCCCTCCTTGGGTGATCAGATCTCAGAGGCCCTGGAGGAGTGGGCACAGCTGCGAATGGGGGAGGGGCCTGGGCTGGGTAGGGGGCAGAGCAGAGCACATGCACGGCCCAGCAGCAGCCAGGCAGGCAGAGGGTGTGCTGAGAGCCCTGTGCCCATCCTGGCGGGAGGGGTCCGAGGAAACATCCTCAGTGACTATGGGAAACCAAGGGAGGTTTGGCACGTAGGCAGTGTGGACACAGCCAGGAGACCATCCAGGCAGGGGACAGCAAGTGCAGAGGCCCAGGGACAGGAACTGATGTCAGAGGCCCAAACCTGGGGCCCTGGGGGAGGGACAAGCTGCCCTTGACTCTGGGCATGTGGGACACTGAGGCTGCAGGAGGGAGCCATGACCAAACGGAAGGAAGGCAGCCAGGCCAATCCCTGTAGAAGCCCACCTGTACAGGCAAACTCTACTGGGTGGGCACTGGCTGAAGGGGGACCACAGGTGGGCAGTGGGACCAAGCTGCTCAGAGAACAGAGAGCCGCATGTTCAAATGATTTGCTGGTGTGGGCTAAAGCCTGGTTGTTTCCATTGACCAGGGGTGCAGATGTAGCTGGAACCACCAATTGGCACAAAGCGCCCTGGCCTTGTGTCAGGTGTAGTGGCTGCTGAAGAAGAACAGGTATGGGCTGGAGAGATGGCTCGGTGGTCTGAAGCACCTACTTGGAGCAGGCTTGGCAAGGCATCGGGGACCGCGGTTCGGTCCCCCAGCACCACATGCCAGCCGGCCCCGCCCCCTGGTGGGCTGAGCTGGCCACACACACACACACACCCCCCACACTCTCTCTCTCTCTCTCTCTC